AGCAATCACCATAAAAGTTAATATATATTTGAGTGCAAATCACGGCTGGATGTGATTTATCCTCAACTAAGAGGCATCATCTAGGTGTTTGTTTTTTCTCATGTGACACAGAAATGGATTAGTAAGCCACATGGTATTTTATTTTTGTTTTTAAAGGCTAATTCTATGAAAGTTGGGTCTGAGCTGTCCACAGATAGATTTTCTGCTTTCTGATTTATTGTTAACCCAAGTTTTAACCCTAAATTTATCACCTTCTGCCTTAAGTTTGAACTATCTTGACCACTGTTATCAGTCGCACTGGTCTGAAGCATTTGGAAGATATTCACTTAGCAGGTAAGGCAGCAAACTTTCAAGGAAGGCTTCACATGCCTAAATAACAGATTTCTACACTGGCAGTTTGAAACATGGTGTTTGTTCAGGGTAGGCTGTACCTGCATGAGAAAAATCTGATCTGTCGATGTGTTCAGTCGCTCGCACAGATTGTCTTTGCTGAGAAAATGGACACGTCTGTGACGTTTCTCACTAAAACCGTGACTCATACACTTGATCTGTGATGCCTTGATTTGACATTTTCTTTTTGTTTTTATTACAAATATCATAAAAGTTTGGGCTGGGTCATTTTAGCAAAGCCTGTCATCCAGTTTGAGAGACCTAGGTCAACAGTGCCTTCCTCAGTTCTTCCATCCTGGGAGGAGTTTCGATCCTCTTATGGGGTTTATATGGAAGAAATCGGTGTCACCAGATCTCTTTGTGGTGTTTTTTGTCTCAGAGCCTAGAGTTTGGATGGAGGAAATGGCAGCAGCTGGAAATGCAGGTGAGGTTGTACTGCTAAAGAACCTCCTTCCAGGCTAAGGAGTTTTTATACCATCCTATAGATGACAGGGAGCTGAGAAAGGGTTGCAGCAGGGGAGTGATGTGGTTATGTTTGCGTTTAAGAATAGTGCCTCTGCAAATAAATGGCTCCAAAGACAGACTCAAGCAGTGGCTGAGTCAGGAGGCCTCAGGGGTGGTCCAGGCCCAAGGTGATGAGGTTGTGGAAGTTATGGGGCCAGAGATGGAGGACAGAGTTGAGAATAGATATGGCTCTACCTTTTGGTGGTGTGGGCATACAAAACGGAGCCAGACATGCCTTCTCTTCTGAGCAGCAGCATAGTGCCGCCGTTTCACTGGCTCAGCATGGCATAAAGCAGAGCCCCCTTCCTCTGCCTATAGCACCTTTTCCTCTTCATTGTACCTGGTTACTTTCCACAGATTCCCTTTGCTCACCCAGAGTCTCCTTGCATCAGCCAAGGGGAAAAGGTCTGAAAGGCCAGCTTTGTTTTTCTTCCAGCTTGTACTTTGAACTCTGTTAGCCAACAGGATTGGCATGGCCTCATAGCAATGGTCAGGCCCAAATTAAACAAGCTCATTACAAAACTCTACAGTCAGCCTGTGGCTTGGGACTGCTCATCTGTGTATCTGTGTATTTCCTTCCAGTGACGTTGGCCTGTGGCTCTGTCACACAGAGCAAGTGAGTGTGTGTAGAGGATGTCCCTGGGTCTTTTGCTCGATGATGGAGACCACATTTGGCCAGGTGCAAAAGCAAGAGTTTTGAGTCACCCTTTTTCCTGGTCTTGGGAGGTGCATATCTTCCTGTCCCTAGGGAATGTCAGTGCATAATTCCTTTCCCGCTCCAAGCATGTTAACTGCCAAAAATCCTTTCAGCACAGAGCGTGAAGTCGTCATAAAAGGAATTTGTCATGTTTGGAAAGTTGTTTGTGGAGAAGGACAATGGAAGTATTCTTTGTGAATTATCTGCTACAGCATGAAAAGGGCCTGATTTTTATGAAATTGGACTCTATGCAAGGATTTGGGTCATTTCCCTTGTATTCTTGGTGCCTCTTGAATCAGAGTGGGAGAGAACTTTCAGTTTGATGTCAAAATTATTTGCACCATGTTGGATGATGATGAAACAAATACTTTTGGCTCAAACATGTTAAATATTCTATCAGCCCCGGTACCACCGTGGAGCCCTAGAGACTCTGAGTGGCTGTGTGTGAGCCTCCTTCTCTAGATGCGCCCTGACCTCTATTCCAGACTTTGTAGTAACATGGGCCTGTCAGTTTCTGCCTCTGGGGTCAGGTGTCCTGGGGCAAATCAGTCGCTGGGGCAGGATGCCCGGTGTGGTTGAACTGTGGGTGACTAGAATTCTCTGGGAGATGTGTTTGACCTGTTAGTCTATTAGTGTGACAGATGTGTCAGTCCAGATGACAGGCTCATCTAATGATCAGAAATTCAGTTTACAACTAGGGAGTCAGGTTCTCACTATTACCCTTGCCACAGCAAACTTCCTTGACAGAGCCAGGAGGAAAGCAAACACCTGTTAAGATAAAGAAAATCGGTTTCTAAAGGGAATTTTTTGCTTACTTTTAAGACTCTGGGTTACTTAAGTAGATGCAATGCAAGGTATGGACCTTCGGACAGGGATCTCCCAGACTTAAAGTTGAGAGATTTTTAACTGTCAGAATCCTAGAGGTCTTGGACATGTGTTAATTCAGAAACCTGAGTCAAAGACTGATTCAGGTGAAGTAAGTTCAGTCAACAAATATTTATTGAGTACCCATGTACGTTGTGAAGGACAGAGAACACACACAGGTCACTCAAAATGTACTTTCAGTGATTGTCCTCTGCTGAGGACCAAGATAAACACACAGGGAACAGTGAAAAATAACAGTGAGAGTTTATGTCTTACACTTTTCGTATGCTATAAAATCTGAAATTGTACTGTTTATAACCAGAGGACATAGACAGGCTGGAGAAGTCAGAGCCTGTTTTGAAAAGCAGGATTTGAGAGGGAAACCAGAGGGTCTTCAAGATAAAATTGACAGGACAAAGTTTAATACAAGCAGGACTAAGAGCAGTTTTTAGATGGGAGCACAAACAGTGCTTCAGCCCAAGCAGTGTTAACTGAGCACCTATTATATACCAGGCACCAAAAGTGGGGTGTGTGGGTGATAAAGACAAAGAGGTACAGCCATTATCCTCAGAGGAGCCGGAGTCTAATAGGGACCGGTTTAGCTGATTGGAGAGCTGTGGAATGCAAGGCTCTTGACACGGTTCATAAGCTTTGAGAATTACCGTCTGGAATGGCGATAGCTTTGGAAACTGGTGTGATGCAGGATGGCCTCAGATGGCAGTTAAGCTCTGACCATTCTATCAGAAAAGTTCCAGCACACTCTTGGCTCAGGACAGTCACTCAAGGCCCTCAAGCCAGGCCACTGGAACAACATCCCTCAGGTTTCAAGTCCTCAGAATCTGCCGACGTGATAGCGCAAACCAGTTGGTTCCCAGACTTTTCTGTCAGTTGGCACTGAGGCCTGGTGGGGAATGTGGGCTCAGGTTTAACATACTTCAGCCTCTCTGGCCAGAAGCTGAAATCTGAGTGAATAAAGTGCTACTGTTTCTGAGACTGGACCTGTCTGTCCTCTTAGGAAGGTTCCAATCACAGCAAGCTGGAACAGCAAGTTTTATTTTAAGAGGAAATCTGGTGAAAGCCAATGTAGTGAGGGGAAACATTTTTTTATAATTCCTGTTAGGAACAAACATTACATTTGATTTTTAAAAATAGGGTAATAATGAATATTGCTTATTTCCAGACACAAAAGTTGTTTAGAAGCTGCCAATCTGCTTTATTTGTTTCAGGGCTTTTGCGAGATACTGGTGGTAAAATATCAATTTACTAAAACCATTTCTTAAAAAAATGATACCTCTCTCTGTCTCCAATTCATGTGAGTTATTCTTTGTCAGGATTAGGTTGAATTTTAATACTAAACTCTTATTGAAGAGTTAAGAAGCTGAGGAACTGGTATACTTAGTGACTGATCCCTTTCCATATTATGTGTGTGACTTGCTATTACCAAGTGCCAGTAATATAAAAAGAATGTGCTTGTGTGGGTTTATCTGTATTTGTCATTAAGGCGCTGCTAAGCCAATGAGCCCTAGAAGCAGGCTCACAGAGGGCTTTAGCCCTTGTCAGATGAGTCTCCCGGGTGCTGCAGCCTGTGAGGCTGTACTTGGTGTCAGCATGGATCTGGGCTGGAGCAGAAAGCTCTGGTTGGCCCAGGCAGTTGGGGCCTATCATCTGCAGTGATAAAGTTCTGAGCATGGCCAGGCCTGTAAGCATTTGGTGGGTCTTGATCGATCCCTGGGTGATTATTTATCCCAAGTGCCGTAACACCTCTGTGTATGTGCCCAACCAAGTCTTAAGTGATTTGAGTGTGTTTGTAGCTTTTCCAGTAAAAGTGCCTTAAAGCAGTTTTGTGACAGAAAGAATGCCTGAGATGTCTCATGTCTAGCACTGGGATGACTGGGACTCAGGCAAGTTTAGTGGAATGTGACGAAGTAAGTCCATGATAGATGTTTAGGTCTCCAAGTCATCCTCATTCTACTGGATCAAGCTACACACACTTCCCTCAGGGGCATTAGTCTTTGGTCAGCTCTTGATTTAATGTAAGTTGTCAGGCCATCCTGGGTAGGTTATAGCCAGAGATGTGGATTCAAAGGAATAGAGGAGAGGGGGGAATAGTCACTGCAGTGTACACCCAAAGAGGAAGTTAATAAGCATGTTTATTTTCTTTCTTTCTTTCTTTCTTTCTTTCTTTCTTTCTTTCTTTCTTTCTTTCTTTTTTTCTTGAGAGATTTTTGCTATAGGGCATGTGCATTCGCCAGACAGACAGAGAGAGACAGAGAGATAGAAAGCGAGAAATCACCCCCCAGGGAGGATGGCCATGCTGCAATCCCTTCTCCTCCATTCTCCTCTCGGGATCTTGGGCATGCACACACATGCACCCAGCGTGAGTTTAAACCACTGGGTCCGGGACTCGAACCACGGTTGACTATGTGGGAGTCCAGCAACATAGTCATTACGCTAACTGCTGGTCCAATAAGCATGTTTCTTAATCTCTCATCAGCACATTTCTTAAGTTCTCATCATCCTGAATCCCTTGTCTTTCCTTTCTTAGAGAGCAGAGCTGACGTCTGATAAAGACATGTACCTTGACAACAGCTCCATTGAAGAAGCTTCAGGAGTGTATCCTATTGATGATGACGACTACGCTTCTGCATCTGGCTCAGGTGAGGCTGACTACTGATCACTGTTCTCTGGGCATGTGCATACACATGTGTTGTGTTGCACTTATTTCCAGGACACAGACAAGCACATGGATCAGGAACTTGGTTCTGGGAAGCAAAGTGCCTGGGTGTGAATTCTAGCTCTCTACCTAAGCTGTGAGATCTCGGGGATTCATTTAACTTTGCTGAGCTTTTGTTTCCTCATTTAGAAAATGATAATTGTCCCTTGTGAGGATTAAGGTTGACTTCTCTTTGATTTTTGTGCTTGGCACATACGGCTCTGTCAACAATAGCTTTTAGTTTTATTATTAAGACTTTAGAGTGATGTCATGGAAACTACCCTTAAAGAAATCCTTCAATTATCAGTTTTATAAAACCACCTACCCTATGTTAAAGTTTATAAATGAGGCTGGAACCTTAGATATTTTTAGTCCTTGTTATTGCTCATGAGTAGAAAGGGCCAGCCTCTGCAGTGCAGCATATTGCATGCCAGAGTGCAGAGCTGGAAGCCACATGCTGACTGCAGTTTGTGTCCCTAGCAGTTTCCCCGAAAAAAAAAAAAAACACACACACACACACACACCAGGCACACTTGTAGAAGTCTAAGATCCTAGTGGGCTGGAAGACTGGAGGAAAAAGATAATGGTGTTACTAGGCCTTGTGGAGGGTGCTTCCCTCTAACCCTCCCCCACTACTGTCACTTTCTCTCATTGGTGCATGCATACCCTCTGTCATGAATTAAAAAAAAAAAAAAAGCAGAGGGGCTGGCCTCATAGCCTAGTAGCTAAGGAAGACAGATCCTACATGGCCAAACAAAATTAAAATCTTGGCCCCAATGACCTGAAAAAGACATGAGGCATGTGTGTGTGCATGCCCAAAATCTCAACTGGATGAGGAAATTGGAGACGGGATTGCAGTGTGACCACATTCTGTTGGGGGATGCTTTCTCCCTCTCCCTCAGTCTCTCTTTGTTTCTCTTTCTCTTTGTCTCTTCCTGGCATGTACACATCCCCTCTGGCAATTTAAGAAAACACTCAAGGGGGGAATGCGTAGCAGCCACGTACAATGACAGTGTGGTAATAGCCTCAACTCCCTTGGCCATATTAGTTATCTATTACCTCTGTAACACTGCAGAATAAACCCAACCCCAAACTCAGTGGCTGAAAGCAACAGTCATTTATTTAATTTGTTATTCTGCAGCTTGGCAGTTTGGGCTGGGCTTGCTGGGCTCCCTGCCATGTCAGTGGACAGCTGGAAGGTGGGTAGGCGGGCAGCTTTGCTGATCTGGCTGGGATCTCTCATGTCTCTGGAGCATCTGGTCTACACAGTCTTCTCTTCCAGTGGCCAGCCACTGGTTCACGGGAGGAGGCAGAGATCCCAGGATAGCAAGTAAGAGTGTGCAAAGCCTCTGGCAGCCAAAGCTCTTGGCACAGTGTCCCTTCTACCACACTTTATCGGTCAAAGCATGTTAGAAGACCAGTCCAAACTCCACCTCTTAATGAAAGCTACAAGGTCACATTGCAAAGAATGAGGATACAAGGAGGAATAAAGTGTTCTGGCCATTTTTGCAGCCTACTGTACCTGGTAAATGTTTCACCTTTGCCCGGAATGACCCCTGAGAAGCTGAGAAAAAGGAAGAGTTGTGCATACATTTAATTTATGGCCAAGTCAGGAATCTGTGGCCAGCAATATGCTAAGCAAATCTTACCCAGGACCTCCTGCTTAAGGTTTTTATTGTGGGTTCGACAGATGGTAAAAGTTATGCGTCATGTAGATGTCTGATAATCATATTGGCCAGGGCCTCAGAATGATCCAGAACAAATGAAAATCAGTTGTGTTTTGGTAGAACTGTAGCCATATACGAGTCAGTGTTTTAAGTTGGAAAATGGCAAGTCTGAGAAAGACAAGAGAGGTGGTGGCTGACCTAGTAACAATGAGCTTACAGTGCAATCCTAACGTAAAAATAGCTCCAGATATTCTTGGGAGAGCGATATATATCACACACACAGAATGAGTGTGAAAAAGTTGTTCTCCATAGTTCACAACTCTATTAATATCTTCACTCATGGCACCTCCTCTTTTTTTAGCACCTCAAAAGTACTTTGTAACTGTCATCTTCAAAGTGTCCCAAGATATAATAAATAGGGATACTTGTGGTCCCATTTCATAGATCTTAGAATTCAAGAGTTGGTAGGGATCTATTGGAGTTGTCAGCATCATTTTGGTGACTTCTGCTAATAATACTCTTAAAGTTCAATTGAAAGAAAATGGGTGCACAGTCCTGCTCCCCTGTCCTCCCCACTCTCCTAATCCCGATAAAAGGGAATTGGAGTGGATCATTTGAAATTCTGAACCCACTAGTCAGATAGATCAATTCGAGGTTTAAACATGGGCTCACGTTGCTTGTGCTATCTAGTCTCAAGCAGATCATTGCTGTGAAAAAGTGAAAGAACATTGCTCTTGACTTTGGGAACTTTGCATGAGCTGAGGACATTGCTTTTCAGCTTAAAGGTAGTAGCAGGAGTAACTCAAATTCGTAAAGCACTTCCTGTATGTCAGACACTCTGTTCCAGTCTTTATAACCTCTCTACAAAGATAGATAGATGTTCTTATGTTCATTTTCACCTGCAGCACAGAGAGCTTAAGTAACTTGCTTCAGGTCTTGCTGTCAAAGTAATGGAGCTAAAACAGGGACTGGGGGCTTGGGCTGTAGAGCATGTTATCTTTGAGACCTTTTCTGGTTTCATGATACCCTGTTCTAGAATTAAGAGCCCTTTGCTGATGTCTAGTCTCTGCTGGAAACATTACTCTCCCCTCCCCACTACGCTCAGAGTTTTGGCTTCTTTTTTTTTTTTTTTGGAGAGATTTTCACTGTAGGGCACGTGCGCTCGCCAGACAGACAGAGAGAGACATAGAGACAGAAAGCGAGAAATCACCCCCCAGGGGGGATGGTCACGCCGCAATCCCTTCTCCTCCATTCTCCTCTCAGGATCTTGGGCACGCACGCACACGCGCCCGGCGTGAGTTCTAAGCCACCGGGTCTGGGACGTGAACCGCGGTCGACTACGTGGGAGTCCAGCGACATAGCCATTACGCTAACTGCTGGTTCCCAGTTTTGGCTTCTTTTGAGGTCTGTCCTAACTCCTTTCAAGCTCTCTGATGGAAAAGTAAATGGACAGGAGGAGAATGGCTAAAGGCCCACAGGGCACTTCCCAGGTGAAGAGATGGGATCCATGTTATAGATGAGGCAAGTACAGGTATTAGCAATCATGGAAACCTTCACTGGCATTTACTGTGTACCAGAGACTATGCCATGTTCTTGGGACATTGAGATAAGAATGATTTGGTTCTTATCCTCAAGAGTCTAAAAGAGGGAAATGTAGAGATAAGATCTGTTGATTGTAACACCATGAATGGGAAACACAACGTAAGAAAGTCCTATACAACAAAAATTCGAAAGTTAAATACAGATCTTTGGTTCAAGATGGTGGGTTAAGCACACACATACCTTCTAGTACCTGACTAAACTGATATAAAGAAATTGGGCATAAAAACAAGGACAGACAAAAGAAAACCACAATGTTTTGAAAGCTGGGAAGCAGATGAACTAGCTACAGCAGTCCTGACAGATCTGAGGAGGCTGAGTTAGCCAGCATTTGGAAGATCAGGAAGCAACCCAGTTAACAGTAGAATCCTCTTAGGGCCCACAAATTGGTGACACAGAATGGAGATTGAAAGTGGTGGCACTAAACTCAGGAATTGTGGTTAAAAGTCTGATTAGGAAGCAAGTCGGGTCTCTGAGTTTTTCCCCTTAATCATGCATCATAGGGAAACTAGAAGCTTATTTTCTGGGACACAACACATGGTCTTTGAACTCAGGGTATTCTGGACACAGATGGGCCTTGGGAGGTTCCTTGTTTAAAATAGGGGGAGTAAGTTAATAGGTTAAGAGTTATTTAATCCCGAGATATCCCCAGCTCTCATATCCCAGTCTGTTCACAGAACACTGGCCATCTGTCCTTTACCCTCTGGACAGGAGACTGGAAGACTTCATTCTGGGGAATTGGAGCAGCTCAACAAGAAATAACGCAAAAGATAGTGGCATTGGAAGCTTTCCAATAAAACATACAGTTGTTAATTGATGATACCCATATTTGACAAAACTCTCCTATGGGCTCAGAGCTTTTAGTAAGCTTTTCAGTGTTTTCCTCTTTTTTGGGGGGGAGGGGTTTTTGCTATAGGGCACGTGCGGTAGCCAGAAGGGCAGGGAGAGACAGAGAAATAGAAAGCGAGAAATCATCCCCCAGGGGGGATGGTCACACCACAATCCCTTCTCTTCCATTCTCCTCTTGGGATCTTGGGCATGCACGCACATGCACCTGGTGTGAGTTTAAGCTACCGGGTCGAGGACTTGAATCACGGTCGACTACGTGGGAGTTCAGCGACGTAGCCATTATGCTAACTGCTGGCCCCAGTGTTTTTCTTTTAAATTTGAAGACAACCAAGGCTCCTGGTCATTTATGAGAAACTTCTAATGTAAAATACAGGGACCTCGTCCAACACCAAGATTGGAAAGGACAGAAGCTCACAGAAGAAGGGAATTTACAGAAAAAAACTTGTTAAAATCAGAGCGATAAAAAAGAAAACCTGTTCTGTGGTACAGTGGTAATGCACTGCTCAAGAGAAACATGCACATCTCACATGGCAGCTGTGATTTGAATCTCTGGTCCAGTTAGCCTAAAACATGCCAGGCGTGTGTGTCAGTGTCCGAGATCCAGTGAGCGGGAGGACTTCAGTAAGGGAATTACAGTGGAATCAGACCCTGTGGAGTGTGCTCATCTTTCCCTCTCTCCCACCCTCCCATGTGCACACATGTGCTGTATTATGAAGATGCTTTAGTGGTGGAACGAGAATAGGTTACTATAAACAGGAGAATTCTGAGAGCACAAAAGAGTTTTTTGGAGAGTGGAGCCGACATGTCAAAAATGAACTCATTAGAAAAT